CTATCTATCTATCTATCTATCTATCTATCTATCTATCTATCTATCTATCTATCTATCTATCTATCTATCTATCCACCCACCCACCTGCCTACCTATCACCTGTCTGTCTGTCTATCCTGTTTCTTAATCGCCCGTTTCCCTCCCTGGCTTGACACAACCACTCCAAAACCAATCAAAGACGCAAGGAACAGACCCCTGATTCTCCTCCCAGTCTGATCTCCTTTCCCAGGGGTCCCATCCTGCCTGGTGGGAAGGCTTTTTTTTTCTTTGCAAGGATTCCTGGAGAGCCTCCTAAAGCCAAGCTATTTGGGGGGGGGGAGGGGGCTGTTTTTGTTTTTGCTTTGTGGCTAAGCAACGCGGCCTTGTCTTGAAGCCGAAGGAGCTGCAGTTTGTAGCATGAAGTGGCCAACTCAAGAGCTCCTGCCAGCATGGCTGTGCCAGGCAATTGAAAGTGCATTTCACCCCCCTCCTCTCGTTTGAAGGTTTGATTCTGCCCCTCCCCTTTCAAAAACAGGCTTTTGACCTTCGTGGTCTCCCTAGCAACCGGAGGCTAAGGTGATTTGGTATTAAATGCAATTATCGAGCTAGAATGGCTAGGGGGGAAAAAAAAGGAGATAAAGCAGAGTTATGCGGGAGCAGGACAAAAAAATAAGAGAGGGGGATCGGTTTCTTTTTAAATATTCAACAGCCATTGATACGATGGGCCAATGACTGTGGACAACACACACCAATGGCCGCTGATATGATGAGTCATTGACACTGACATGATGAGTCAATGGTAATTGATATTGATAGGAGTCAATAGCCATTGACATAATGAATCAATGGCCATTGACATATGTCAATAATCAGTGACATGATGGGCCAACGGCCATTGACAGGACACATCAATGGCCATTGATATGATCATTGATGTTGACATGATGGATCAATGACCATGACATGAGTCAATAGACATTGATATGGCTCAATAGCCATTGACATGAGTCGATGGCCATTGATATGAGCCAACAGTCATTGATGTTGACATGATGTGTCAATAGCCATTGACATGAGTCAATGGCCATTGATATGGCTCAATAGCCATTGACATGAGTCGATGGCCATTGATATGGGCCAACAGTCATTGACATTGACATGATGGGTCAATGGCCATTGACATGAGTCAATAGACATTGATATGGCTCAGTAGTCATTGACGTTGACATGATGGGCCAATAGTCATTGACATTGACATGATGGGTCAATAGCCATTGACATGAGTCAATGGCCATTGACATGGGCCAACAGTCATTGACGTTGACATGATGTGTCAATAGCCATTGACATGATGAGTCAATGGCCATTGACGGAACCCATCAATGGCCACTGACATGGTGTGTCCAATCTATAAAGTCCCCTTTTGCGACCTTCTGACGAGCCAAGTCAACTGAACAACCGTCTTGCTAGTTGAACAAATGCAGCGACTCCCTTAAACTATCGTGGCAAGACACGTCGTTAAAATGGGGCAACCTTCACTCTCTCGCTTAGCCACAGAAACTTTGGGCTCAAGGGTGGTCATACATTGAGGACTCCCTATATATATATATATATTTTCCACAACACGTCCACAATCGCTTTGCACTGTAAAATTGGGAGGGCCAAAAGATCGAGGAAATAGGATGCCCACAAATGCGTGCAATTTATCTTTTTGAAAAAGCAGATTTTTTTTCCCCCGTGAGCCTTACCATGATCCCCGTAAGCAGACAGACGCCTTTCCCACAGTAGGTGTGAGGGACCATGTCTCCGTAACCAATGGAGAGGAAGGTGATGGAAATCAGCCACATGGCACCCAGGAAGTTGCTGGTCACATCCTGTTGGTCGTGATACCTGCCGAAGAAATGCAGGTTGCTGGGGGTGAAATGACACAGCCACCATCAGGAGGCACCAAAACGATGTTCGTGGACTATTTGGACCCAGCTGGAACCACTCCGGAGCGGCGTATCTCAAGCTCAGGCAACTGGAGGAGAGTGGACTTCAACTCCCAAAATTCCCCAGCTAGTTATTCTGGCTGTGGAATTCTGGGAGTTGAAGTCCATATACCTTAAAGCATGCTGGTTTGGGGAATTCTGGAATTTGAAGTCCATATTTCTTGCAGTGGAATTCTGGGAGTTGAAATCCATGCCTCTTAAAGCAGGCTGGCTGGAGAATTCTGGGAGTTGAAGTCCAGATTTCCTTCTGTGGAATTCTGGGAGTTGAAGTCCATACATCTTAAAGCATGCTGGTTTGGGGAATTCTGGGAGTTGAAGTCATCCCTCTTAAAGCATGCTGGTTTGGGGAATTCTGGGAGTTGAAGTCATCCCTCTTAAGGCATGCTGGTTTGGGGGAATTCTGGGAGTTGGAGTCCAAATGTCTTAAAGCATACTAGTTTGTGGAATTCTGGGAATTGAAGTCCATGCATCTTAAAGTAGGCTGCTTTGGGGGATTCTGGGACTTGAAATCCACATTTCTTGCTGTGGAATTCTGGGAGCTGAAGTCCATATATATTTTAAAGCATGCTGATCTGGGGAATTCTGAGAGTTGAAGTCCTCACCCCTCTTAAAGGATGCTGGCAGGGGAATTTTGGGAGTGGAAGTCCACCCGTCTTAAAGCGGCTGGGGGATTCTGGGATTCTGCCCTTCACTAAACCCCAAGTGAAAAAATCCCAAGGATGTTTACTAATTTAGACAACTCAGGTTAATTGTCTCTCAACATCACAACATCTGTCTAAGAACAGGCCTATTTTCACACACACCCCGTTTTTTACACTTCCACGTATAACACCAAAGCCCTTGAAATGAAGATAATCTCATTTATTTGGGAATTTTTCTGAAAGTCCCCAACTCCCATCTTTTGGGATTAATACCCTCCATTTTCTCTCCGTTGCTGGGTTTGTGAGCCTGGTTAATGACTATTGATCTTTCTCTTTCTCTCTTTCTTCAGCCAAGAGGAAAGGTTAGATATCGGTTAGAATTCTTTGCAGGGCCCTGAAAAACAGCTTGATTATGCATTGCACAGATCTATAATTGATTTTTATTTATTTTTTTCAGAGGCAAGATTAGATCTTGGCTTCTGCGGGCCAACATGTGTGAGCCAGGAGGAGTTAAAATCAGAATTTCCTGGCCTGGATAACAAAGATTTACTCAATCATGAGATGTTAACGAAGAATTCATCCCCTTTAAGAGGGATGGATTTTAACTCCCAGAATTCCCCAGCCAGATTATTTAAAGATGGATAAACTTCAATTACCAGAATTCCCCAGCCAGTCTGCTTTAAAGGGATGGACTTCAACTCCCAGAATTCCTCAGCCAGTATGATTTACGAGGGGTGGATTTTTAACTCCCAGGATTCTCCAGCCAGCCTGCTTTAAAGCTGGATAAACTTCAACTCCCAGAATTCCCCCACAACTAGAAGAAACAATAAAATAAAACAAAACAGAGGCAAAAAACCAAACTAGACAAAAACATTTTTTAAAAAAGGTCTCTCTTTTTTTTTCATTATTATTTTTTCCTCCTTTCGGGATAGCCCAACTCTCAACCATTTTCACACTTACAAGAATCCCAGACAGAAGTGTAGAACGTGTAAAAAGCAACCGGATGTGTGACAGACACAAACACACCCACGCACCCACCCACACGGCCTTTCCCATCTATTCACACCCAGGAGCAATGCTGCGGTGTGCTGTGCACACCACACACACACACACATACACAATAAACCAGGCAGAAAAGGTTTCAAAGAAAAAGGAAACTTTGCAGAAAGCCATCGACGTCCCATTGACCCCTACACACACACACACACACACACACACACACACACACACACACACATTTTCCTTGGCTAATTTTGCACCCGGAGCTGGGTTTCCATTCCTTGGTTGTTAGGGAGTCCTGCCTACACCCCATGTGGATGTTGCCTCTCCTGGCACTCTCACTAGCACGTCTTCAAGAAAAGAAAGGCGGTGAAAAGAACCTGCGGGTTGTGTGTGTGTGTTTGTGCGTGTGTGTCAAAGTGTCACACAGGCTGCTTTTTCAGCACACCAGCTTGAATGTTCCCGGATAAGACAGGCCCAGCGGGAAGGGAGATGAGAAAAAAAAAGAAGGAAAACCTCTCTCTTTCTCTCTCTCTCTCTCTCTCTGAGTGTGTGTGTTTTCACATTCAGCCCACAACTCTTATTTCTTGTTTTTTTTTTCTTTCCCTTCTCTCCTTCTTCTACCAGCTGAGTGGCAGAATTGGAAGGGAAGGTAGCAACTCGGGTCAATTTTAGAAGATGTAGAAGCCGATATTTGGAGGGATGGATGATATATGTGGGTTTGCCAGTGTGTGTGTGTGTGTGTTTGTAATTATGTAAACAAAAAGATAGATGATAGAGGTATACATGAAACAGTATATAAATGATATGGATAGATGATAAGTAGGCAAGGAGGCAGGCAGGCAGACAGACAAACTGACAAACAGACAGAAGTGGATGGATGGATGGATGGATGGATGGATGGATGGACGGACGGACGGATGGGCGGGCAGGCAGGTTGATTAGATAGATACGTAGGGAGGGAGGGAGAGAGAAATAAATAGATTAGTGATACAAACACATTAGATACATAGATAATGATGGATGGATGGCCTGATAGATAGACAGACAGACAGACAGACATAGATAGATAGGTAGGTGCATTGATAGATATAGAAACAGACTCAATATATAGATAGAAGCATAGATGATGGGTGGGCAGATAGATGATAGATAGATAGATAGATAGATAGATAGATAGATAGATAGATAGATAGATAGATAGATAGATAGATAGATAGATATAGAAACAGATAGGTAGGTAGGTAGGTAGGTAGGTAGGTAGGTAGGTAGATAGGTACGCTGATAGATATAGAAACATTCAATATATAGATAGAAGTATAGATGATGGATGGGCAAATAGATGATAGATAGAGATAGATAGATAGATAGATAGATAGATAGATAGATAGATAGATAGATAGATAGATAGATGATTGATAGATAGATAGATAGATAGAGGTAGATAGGGATAGATAGATAGAGGTAGATAGGGATAGATAGATAGATAGATAGATGGATAGATAGATAGACAGATAGATGATAGATAGATAGATAGATAGATAGATAGATAGATAGATAGATAGATAGAGTCGGGGAAGAATGAGGAATGGTTGTAGGAACTGGGCCTGGCTAGTCTAGGGAAGAGAAGGACCAGGGGAGACAGGAGAGCAGCCTTCCAATATTTGAGGGGCTGCCCCAGAGAGGAGGAAGGGGGTTCAAGCTATTTTCCAAAGCACCCGAAGGCCAGACAGGGAATAATGGATGGAAACTGAACCAGGAGAGATTCAACCTGGAAATAAGGAGGAATGCGTGCCTCGATGTGAGTGATATTGAGTTGGCCACACCCAGTCAACCACATGACGCCCAAGCCATGCCCCCACCCCCTAAGCCACGCCCACAGAACCGGTTCTTTAAAAAAAATTGGAATCCCACCCCTGCCAGCTGCCGGCCAAGGCCGCCACTCGCCCTGGGAGAAACTCACCTCTCGCAAACCCTCACGGTCCAGGCGGCGATGATCCAGAGGGAGATGCTGAAGACCAGGAGCACCGTGCCGGGGCAGATGGTCATGAGTGTCTTCATGACAAAGCGGGTGTTGAAATTGATCTTGTTCAGGGCGCCGATGCTGCGGGACGAGGCGTCGGTGAAGAGCTTGCTGTGCAGGAGCATGACGCGGGCGATGAGATAGAGGCGGAGGAACATGGGAATGGAGAGGATGATGTCCACGTCGGCCTCGGCGCGGGACGGCGTGTAGGAGAAAGCCAGGCGGGCGGTCCAAAAAAACTTATACTCGCCCGGGATGGGGTGCACGGCGCAAACCAGCATTTCCAAAGTGATGTACAGGATGCGCTCGTAAGTCATGGCGATCCGCCAGTCGTCGGCCCCGTTGTCGATCACGAAGAGCTGAGCGAGGGGAAAGGAGGAGGA